TGGGGTGATTCTTGTAGTAGGTAAAGCCTTTTTGGTAACCTTGTTGTCCACCTACAAAGTTTACCTCAGCTGTGATGTCTTCCCCTTGAAATATGTCTTGAAACACATGATTCACATCTCTAATCAAGTTGACTTACTTATGAGAGGCTAGGAGAAGTTTGTCTAGCTTCTCATTGAGAGACCAGATGTCTTTCCTTGTTCTTTCCTCTTCAGCACACACAGCACCTCTTGAATTCCTGTCAAACTCTGCTCCATAAAGCTCATCACTCTGAGCTACATTCTCCACAAGGGTCATGGCATCATTGACTTCCTTGGTCATGAAATTACCATTTGAAGCAGTGTCCAAGAGTAGTCTGACCTTTGCTAAAGCACCTCTGTATAAGGTACTTAGCAGCTGAGCATCTGAGAATCCATGGTGAGGGCATTGCATGGTATACCCTCTATATCTTTCCCAAGCCTCACAAAAGGATTCATGGTTCTTCTGAATAAAACTTGAGATTTCATTTCTTAACCTTGCTGTTCTCGATGAAGAGAAGAACTTGGTTAGAAATGCTATTTTGCATTGCTCCCATGTTGTGACTGATCCTTGAGGTAGAGACTTTTCCCATTGATGAGCTTTGTCTCCTAGAGAAAAAGGGAATAGCCTCAACTTGAAACTGTCCTCACTAACTCCATTCATCTTAGTTAGATCACAGACTCTATCAAAGTTGTCAATGTGATCTAATGGGTCTTCTAATGCCAAGCCATGGAACTTGTTTGATTGCACCATGTTGATCAAGCCAGATTTGATCTCAAAATCGTTTTCAGGTGTAGGAGCTTCAATCCCATGTCTCTGACCCTGAGTATTGGCCTCATGACCAGCTCCCACAACTTTTCTTGGACGTGCTGCTGGACCCTCTTGCTGATCCTGGTGGTTTCCATTACCACCATGAGCCTGTTGCCCTTGATCCATACCCAACCTCTCAATGTGCTCAGCCCCTTCTCTTTGTCTCCTTGCTTGACTTCTGGTGTTCATACACCTGAAAACAAAGACAGCACTTGAAAGGTAATTAGTAAAACAAAATAAAATGACTTGATCTCAAGAAGATCCAAAGTCCTAATGCTAGAATAAACTCTCCAATTGGCAACGGCGCCAAATTGATAGTAGGAATTTTTCAATCCTTGATCAATTCCTCAACTTCTCATGTCATTGTAGCACTTGAGGTATCAATCCAAATGGAGAGATTCTAGACACTAAGACTATGAGGATCAATTCTTAATCCAAGTCTAAGTAAACAGATGAGTTGGTAACAAGGTGATCTAAAAACATAAAGCAAACAAGAACAAGCAGTAATTAAGAATTAAACAAGCAAGAGAAACTAAACAAACACTCAAATTTAAATAAAGAGAAAGCTAAACCTCTAGATGTGATCATTGATCAGGGTGCTTTCAATGCTTAACTCATGATGCTAAGAAAACAATGCAACACTTGCAATTCTTTAGTCTAGACTTCCGAAGCAGATTAATTCATTGTCATGACAGAAATCTCTTTGCAAATTACTTAATCAAGACTAATTCCCATTAGTGAATAAGCAATTAACAAGCATAAGGTTCCAAGTCTAACATGACCAAACAGCCTCTTTGTGCATCAAAATAAGAGCTAAGAAAGACTGAATCTTATACAGAAAGATAAAGCAAGCATCACATGATCTCAAATTCCAATCAACTTAGAACTCAAAGAAAGACCATTTCTTTCCCAAGACAATGATCACTATACTAATAAGCATTCAAACCTAACTCTCATTAGTGGTAATGATGATCAATATGCATTAATAAACAGTTCTAATATGTCATTTATGCTTTAAACAAACATTCCCATGGCATTTAAAACATAAACCCTTAAGTTAGCCCATTCAGGCATTTCATCAAACACCTTGTGGGTGGAGAAATGCCTAAGCTCTATATCAAGCTTATAATGAGAAATCTAGCATTAAGAACAGCTAACTAAGGAAAGGAAATGAGAATTTAGAACCTAAACATCATTAATCAAACATCAAAGCACCCTAATCTACACACCTAGAAGCTTAAAAGAAGACTACTCACTAATCATGATGAACACACCATTTCCTTTGCAAGAGGTGATGTTAATCATGATTAAAAGCAAAGATAAGAAGATGAGATGATAAGAAGCAGACTTAGATTGATTAAATCCTTGAGATATCTCTTAACAAACTCGTTTTTACACTGAAAAGGAAAGAAAACTAGAGAGAAAAACAAGCTTAAGTCTCGGAAAAAACCCTAAAAAGCATATACAGTGTCTCTTGCGTACCGGGTCAGCCCAGGAAAAACTGGGTCCTGACCCGGCTTTGATGGATAGTTGTGTGGTTTGCTACGGTCAGATGATGCTTGGACAGACCGTGGCAAACTGACCGTGGCAAACTGATAGTGTCAAAGTTCTTGGACAGATTCTTCATGATCAAGGTTGCCATGGCTTGATTTACACCATGTCTAGTGGCCGTGTCTATTCTTTTCTGGGTTTGGGTGATGAACTTCTTGGATTGACACGGTTTAGTAGCTCTTGGTCAAGCCTCGTGGCAAGTGGTCGTGTCAAACGGCGATGGTGTGTAAAAGCTGCCACGGTCAAGTCCTAGACCGTGGCATTGAAACCGTGTCAAGTGCCGAATGCTTGTAAAGTTCTTCCCAGCCAAGTGTTTGTTTGCCACGGTCAAGTGTAGACCGTGGCATGAAGATCGTGTCATTCGCCGAAGGTGTGCAAAAGTTTCCACGGTCAAGTCCCAGACCGTGGCATTCATCGCGGCATGTTTCACTTAGGTCGCATCATTCAGGGTTGTCTGGACCACTTCGCATTCCAGAGTGTAACTCATAAGATACTTGTCCGAATTGATTTATTCCGGTTGCAGAGGACCAAGGGCTCATATATCTCCAACTTTGGTGAAGGAAACTTCGGTGCTTGGGAAGTGGAAGGCTTCCTGGAGGGCTCATCTTTGCAGTGCATTTACACGATCAGAGAGAGACGTCTATACATGTGTCCATTCCGGAGACCGTATCTTCCTGCTCATAGCTCTGAATTGAATGATCTCGGACGTCCTGCAAAGAGGACTCAAATGTCTCTGATTCTCATGAAGGCCCCGGAAACTGAATCCGCCTGGAAGTGCACCGTCCTTCGCATTCTTCAGAGCTCATCGGCTTGGTTCAAAACAGCAGCGAGACAGGGGTTTCTTCCGACGAGCTTAACTTTCTGCTCACGAGTCAGAATTCCATGATTCCACTTGCTATAGAACCGTGATACAATCCTCTCCAACTTTGATGAAGCACGAATCTGACCGGAAGGTTCCCCGGACGGGCGATTTCGGAAACGTGTCTGCACCCAAAGATTTTGGCCGAGAGATTCAATAGCCGGTACGCGTTTTGGCCGATAAGGTCTACCCGCGGTACATGAAAATGGCCGATAAAAATCTTCCTGGTACGCGAGAATGGCCTAGAACCTCCAAAAACCCAATTTCACCACTTTTCAAGCTTTGATCTTCATTCCACTTCCTGGATTCAGCTTTTCAGCTCCAAATAGCTCCAAATACACCTGATAAACACTCAAAACATGCAAAGACTCATTGGGACCTAATGCATCTCCTAAGTTCTAAAACAAACCCTAAGGACCTAAAATGCATGAAATAAAACATGATTTGGAATGAAATATGCAACCTAAATGATGCAAATTATGGACATATCAACATCGCCTCGTATTCTTCGTTGAATTGACATGCTACGAGCTGTGAATCGCAAAAGGTTCTTATCTTTCGAACTCCAATTCTCTGCGCTAGTCGTATGCCGGCGATCAGCGCTTCGTATTCTGCTTCGTTGTTTGAGGCGTGGAAGTTCAGGCGAAAGACTGCTCCAATATTTCTCTGGTGGGAGAGGTGAGACGGATTCATATTCCCGAGCCGTATTTAGACGATGAGCCGCCGACGTGCAGCGTCTATACTTCGTCTAGGGTTGGCTCGTCCGTCGCCTTGCCGGAAGTTCGATGAGAAAATCTGCGAGCACCTGTGATTTTGCAGACGACCTGTTGCGATACTCGATGTCGTACTCGCTCAACTCTATGGCCCATTTGGCGAGCCGTCTGGATTGGCTCGGGCTGTGCAGGATCGAGCGCAGTGGGAGTGTAGCGAGCACAACAATGAATGTGATTGAAAATACAGACGCAGCTTGCGAGCTGAGTCTATGACGGCTAGGGTGACTTTCTCGATCTGGGGGTAACGGGTCTCGGCGTCGTTCAGTATCTGGCTGACGTAGAAAATTGGTTTTTGCTCGGATCGCTCTTCTCTTATAAGCACCCCACTTACAGCTGTAGCAGATACGGCGATGTAGAGGAGGAGAGGTTCTCCTTCAACTGGTTTCGCCAAGATCGGCGGGCTTGCCAGATAACTCTTCAATTCATGGAAAGCTGCTTTGCATCGCTCGTCCCACTCGAATTTCTTATTTCCCCGAAGGGTGTCGTAGAAAGGCAGGCACTTGTCGGTGGAACGGTAGATGAACCAGTTTAGCGCAGCGACCCTTCCTGTGAGCCTTTGCACTTCTCTCTTCGTCCTTGGAGAGGGCATCTTGATTAATGCCTTGATCTGTTTGGGATTCGCTTCAATGCCTCGGTGAGTTACCAGATATTCGAGAAACTCTCCCGAGGTGACCGCAAATCTGCACTTCGCCGGGTTTAGTTTCATGTTGTGTTTGTTCAACTGCTCGAAGCATTCTCGTAGATGCGAGATATGGTCTTTCTCGTCAAGTGATTTGACTAACATATCGTCGATGTATACCTCCATGGTTTTTCCGAGCTGATCAGCGAACATTTTATTGACGAGCCGTTGATATGTTGCTCCTGTGTTCTTGAGCCCGAACGGCATGACTTTGTAGCAGTATATCCCGCAATCAGTTATGAATGCCATTTTTTCCCGATCATCAGGATGCATCAGGATTAGGTTGTAGCCGGAGAACGCGTCCATAAATGTTTACAGCCTATTTCCCGCAGTGGCTTCGACGAGCCGGTCGATGTGCGGCACTGGATTCGCAAGCCAGTCTGGATATTTGGCCTCGGCGATTGATCCTACTTTTAGCAATCTCTCCACTTCGTCGTTAACCGCTTTAGCTCGTTCGGGTCTGAGCTTCCTTCTTTTTTGCTTGATTGGTTTGAAGGTTGGGTCCACGTTGAGCTCGTGACGGGTCACATCGATGCTTATGCCCGGCATATCTTCTGCTGTCCAGTCAAAAGTGTTGATGTTCTCTTTGAGGAGGGAAAGAAGTTTGCTTCTCAGAGGCTCTTCTAGTTTTGCTCCGATTTCGACGCATCGTTCTGGACGCGCTTCGTCTATGCACACCGAGTCCACTGCATCACATACCGGCTCGGCGCGCGTTTCGCGACTCTCCGCAATCTGTAATTGCTATAAGAGTTTCGAGAGCTCGTTCGCAGGCTCTCGGTTCGTCTTCATCTTTTTACGATCTATGTCTCCTCGTGCGTCGGTGACGGGTTTCCTCAGCTTGAACTCCGCTAAGCAGCACATTCGTGACTCCTTCTGATTTCCCAGATCGTTTTGATGCCTGCTGGAGTCGGGAATTTGAGGCAGAGGTGATAGGTGGAAGGGACCGCCCTCATCGCGTTGATCCATGGAGTTCCCATAATCACATTGTAGATTGCTGGGTGATCGGTGACGCAGAAATCGACTATCCTAGTGACTCCGCCAGCTACCACAGGGAGCCTAATCGTTCCCATGGTCATCGTTGTTTCTCCTGAAAATCCAGTTAGTGGTTTGGGGATCGTCGTCACCTCGGAGAGATCGATTCTGATGTGATACTGAGCAGCATCAAGAAAGGAGAGCTTGAACCAGAGCATGGAGCTAAGGATCAGCTTGTAGCCGAGAGATATTAGTTTAAAAACAAAGGAGCTAAGGCTAATAAGCTCAAGGAAGGCATTGGCGAGATACCTACTTATCTATGGAACAAAGAAGATCGCTTGATCCAGGCTGGAAAAGATGGATTACAAACCACACTGGTTTTGATTCAGGCTCAAGTAGATCAACAATTGGGTAAGTGGCCCAGTTGTACTCTTTTTCTCTTACCTTTGGTTTTGTCCCAATGGGTTTTCCAAAGGAAGGTTTTTAAGGAGGCAATGGTGTCTACTTCTATCAAGGCCCAATTGTTGATTCAAGGACTTAAGCCCAAGACAAATTTCGTCCAAGGGAAGTTCAAGAGGCTGGAGAAGTGACTTGAAGAGTTATTCAAACTTTGCATTTATTTCCTTGTCATTTTCGAGTCTGCCTTGTTTTTTTACATTTTTTCTCTTTATAATCTCTTGTAATCTCTTATGAGAACTCATCCTGGATTGGATCATCAAACTTTTATCAAATAAAACTCTCTCTTACTCTTATCAAACTTGGACGAAATCCTTTGTCTCTTTGAGAGTGATTCGCTGCTTGTGCAGCATCTTTATCATCTCTATTCTCTTTGTTTTATCCTGAGAGTGAATCGCTGCATCTTTTTCATTTCTCTTCTATCTCTTGTGATCAAATTAAATTCTGAACAGCAACCTGATCTATTAATCTCCTCAAACAGAAGTCTATTCCGCAAACTTCTGTCCCTGATCTATCTCTTACCAAGCTTCTGAGTGCCGATCCTTGGGAGGATCACATCAAGTGGTATCAGAGCACACTTAGAAGTTTCTTTGGTAGTCTCTATCCTTTCTCATCTATTTAATTTCGTGTCTGCATCTGTTCATCTTCTATTTTCGTTTTAGTTCTCTTCAGAAAAAGAAAACCCATAAAAATCATTTTAGATCTGTTTAGTATGCATCATAAGCCTCCAAATCTAGTGTTTGTTTGCCTCTGCATCACGTTTTTTATCCCTGGTTTTGTTTTGTCTTTTCATCTTCTTTGCATCATATCTGCTCATATTAGTTTGTCCATTCAGTTTCTATTATCAGATCTCATCATCGGCCATATATGTGCTTGTTTAAAAATAAACCGATCACATTCTAGGGCTTTTGATTGATTTCTTGTGGCACACGAAGAGTCGCTTTTGCATTTTTAATCTATTGTGAGAACTAGTTACTGGTCTTGTTTTCTGCTTTGTTTTTCAGGTCACAATGAGTGAAGAGCAAGGAGACAACAGCAACAATAGCAACAAACTCTTTATGGAAGCTATGATGGCTCGGTTTGAGCAACTGATGAAAACTCAAGCAGAAGAACTACATCAGCGAATTGATCAGCTACAAGGAGAACCTAATCCGAGGAGGATTCATGAAAGAAATACCAACGGAGTTCATGTCCAGCTAAGACAGCCTAGAAATGATGTTGGTGATGATAATTCTTCACAAGACAGTCCAAGACGTGGAAGAGGAGTATGATGACGTGTTGATGATGACATGAGAGGCATGAAGCTGAAAGTTCCTCCTTTTCATGGGAAGAATGATTCAGACGCTTATCTGGAATGGGAGAAGAAGATCGAGATGATCTATGATTGTCAAGAATATTCAGATCTCAAGATGGTGAAGCTAGCCGCTACAGAGTTTTATGGTTATGCCATAAAGTGGTGGGATCAGATCACAACAAGCCGCAAACGCAATAGAGAGCCGCCTGTTGGTACTTGGGATGAGTTGAAAGCACTCATGAGGAAACGCTTTGTCCCTAGTCATTATCATCGGGAGCTACACCAGAGACTTAGACGCTTGACTCAAGGAAACAGCAGTTTGGAAGATTATTTTCAAGAAATGGAATCTTTGATGATCAAGGCTGGTATTGAAGAAGATAGAGAAGCAACCATCGCTAGGTTCTTGAGTAGGTTAAACCGAGAAGTTCAAGACAGAGTGGAGATGCAAAGCTATGCTGATCTAGAGGAGATATATCACAAAGCCATTCTAGTCGAACAACAACTCAAGAGGAGAGGATCTCGATCAACTTTTGGAGCTAGTTCATCTGCCGCTAGACCAAGCTTTGCCAAAGAAGAAAAACCAAGTGCTGAGCCGATGGTGCCTACTAAATCATTCCTTGCTAAACCAGATTTCAAGGTGAAAACCGAAGCAACCACTACTAGAGCTCGTGAGATAGTCTGCTTCAAGTGTCAAGGAAGAGGACACATCGCTAGTGAATGTCCTAACAAGAGAGTTCTGATTCTCTTGGACAATGGTGAGTACGAATCAGCAGATGAAAAAGAGATCTCGGATTCAGTGGAAGAGCAAGAGGAGTATGCTGCTACAGGAGATCTTTTGATGATGAAAAAGATTCTAAACGTGCAAGCTAAGGCAGAAGAGGAAGCACAAAGACTGAACCTGTTTCACACAAGATGTCATGTGCAAGGCAAGGTGTGCAATCTCATCATCGATGGAGGAAGCTGCACCAATGTAGCAAGTGAATACATGGTTAATAAGCTTGGCTTGACCGCGAGGAAGCATCCTAAGCCATACAATCTGCATTGGCTCAATGATAAAGGTGAAATGCGAGTTAACAGCCAAGTATCGGTTTGTTTAACCCTTGGAAAGTATAAGGACGAAATTCTGTGTGATGTTCTACCTATGGAGGCAAGTCACATCCTGTTGGGAAGGCCATGGCAGTATGATAGACAAGTGACTCATGATGGCTCCACCAACAAGTATTCTTTTGAGTTCAAAGGCAGGAAGCACATCCTTGTTCCAATGACACCTTTCGAGATTTATCAAGATCAAAAAAAGAAAGGAAAACAGGCTGAGAACAACACCTACAAGCAATCAAACTTCCTTGCCAAATCTGGTAATATCCAAAGAACTCTAATCTCTCAATCATCTAGTTGTAAGTCTGCTTATAAAGAAACTCTTTTGAGTTTATCTATTGTTGCACCGGAGCTGCCGAGTGGAAGATCTTTTGTTTTGCAGGACTATAAGGATAATTTTCTTAGGCCAACTGAACCTTTAGAAGATAAATTCTGGAACAGAATTCAGTTTGGACAAAGAACTTGCATCTTTCCTATGAAGAACCCATCCGAAGGCCATATCTTCACCAAAAAGAGCCTTAAGCAAAAGGAGCTTGTAAACGATCAAACCACCACTGAAAAAGGAGCTCAAAACGAACAAGGAAAAGGGATGAGGGCTGGAGGACGTGTGGAACTTGAACACTCTGACCTCAAGGATGCTAGGAAGCATGGAACACCTCAAACTCCAATACAGATCACTGCCGAAACATACTTGCAAGGTAAGCATTATCCGAATTCAAGTTCTAATGGTTATAACTTAGCTTGGTTCTTGGCAGATGGTCCTGATTTGAAGACAAATCCTTTTCAACTGGGGGAGGATGATGTGATACTGAGCAGCATCAAGAAAGGAGAGCTTGAACCAGAGCATGGAGCTAAGGATCAGCTTGTAGCCGAGAGATATTGGTTTAAAAACAAAGGAGCTAAGGCTAATAAGCTCAAGGAAGGCATTGGCGAAATACCTACTTATCTATGGAACAAAGAAGATCGCTTGAGCCAGGCTGGAGAAGATGGATTACAAACCACACTGGTTTTGATTCAGGCTCAAGTAGATCAATAATTGGGTAAGTGGCCAAGTTGTACTCTTTTTCCCTTACCTTTGGTTTTGTCCCAATGGGTTTTCCAAAGGAAGGTTTTTAAGGAGGCAATGGTGTCTACTTCTCTCAAGGCCCAATTGTTGATTCAAGGACTTAAGCCCAAGACAAATTTCGTCCATGGGAAGTTCAAGAGGCTGGAGAAGTGACTTGAAGAGTTATTCAAACTTTGCATTTATTTCCTTGTCATTTTCGAGTCTGCCTTGTTTTTCTACATTTTTTCTCTTTATAATCTCTTGTAATCTCTTATGAGAACTCATCCTGGATTGGATCATCAAACTTTTATCAAATAAAACTCTCTCTTACTCTTATCAAACTTGGACGAAATCCTTTGTCTCTTTGAGAGTGATTCGCTGCTTGTGCAGCATCTTTATCATATCTATTCTCTTTGTTTTATCCTGAGAGTGAATCGCTGCTTCTGCAGCATCTTTTTCATTTCTCTTCTATCTCTTGTGATCAAATTAAACTCTGAACAGCAACCTGATCTATTAATCTCCTCAAACAGAAGTCTATTCCGCAAACTTCTGTCCCTGATCTATCTCTTACCAAGCTTCTGAGTGCCGATCCTTGGGAGGATCACATCAGATTCCCATCCTTCTAAGTGTCTCCCTGAAAATGACGTCTACCAAGCTCGCAGTATCGATGAGCACCCTCACTACATCGTGATCTCTGATCGTCAATTCGATCACTAGTGGATCGTTGTGTGGTCTAATCTGATATCTCATTTTTGCATCTGAATCTTGTTCTTTCTTTATTCTTCTTTTATTATCAGCATTGAACTCCTAATCATGACCAGCTACACGTCTTGCAAAGGACTTAGTGAGCTAGTTATGATCAGTGAGTAGTCGTTTAAGCGGCTTTAGATAAGTAGATTAGGGTGCTTTCAAGATAGATTAGTGGGTTTAGGTGTCTAGTCTTGCATGTTTCATTCTTTAACCGACGAGATCTCTAGGCTGGATCCAAGCATATCACTTGAGGTTCAGATCTGAGGCATATCTCGCATCAAAAGTGTTTGTAGAAATGTCTGAACCACTCGGTTAAAGGTTTAAGAGTCTTTCATCGCGAGAGTGATAGTTTTTTCTCTTAAATGACATATTTGAACTGAATCTTATTGCTGATTGATTCGTGCTTCTCAAAAGACATTTTGGTATGAAGGAGGATCAGTTTAGATGTTTAATACTTTCATGAGAAGATTAACATGCCTTGAGTTCAAAGTTAAATGAAATCGCTTGACAAAATAATTCATTAACCCATTAGTTTAGCTTGGAAGCACCTGAGTCGATTATCTTGTCTAGAGTCTCTT